ATTACAAATCTTTAAAGAAAACTAGATGTCTTAAATAAAGGGAAGCAATTCTCATTATGCATTAAGATTTGAAGCATTTATATTGAATATAGACATTGCACTCTTAATCTAAGAAGTGTTTTATCATCACCATCAAAAAATAAGAGAGAGATAATGTTGACTCAATGTGTTTTTTATGATAACAAAACATTCTCATTCATTAATGTTTAATTATATTATTTAAGTATATAGGAAAAAGCTTATATAGTTGATAAACGCATAAATAACGCTCATCTATACAGTACTCTGCGACACAAACGCATCAACCATAATTCCAAACTAATTGAAAGCTTCCTTAAGATTCGACCATAAGGTTCCTTTTCCCAAATTATCCACAAAAACCGTAAATAGAGATTTTCTCCACCATACCAATTCAGAATAAATACAAATTCTTGCGCCCTAAAACCCATACCTCTGATGAACTCTAGCCGCTCCTCCTCAATGCCTACTTGCAAAAGAATTTCAACTCTCATATTTTTTTTTTAATTTCTCCAGCTCAAAGTTAAAATGTTATATCAGTTTTAAATTTAAAATTTAATTTTTATTTAATTGGAAAAAACTTTACAAAATTTAATGTAAAAAACCTTAGTGATTTAATCAATTTTTATTTAATTAAATGCATGCAATCGTTAATAAATCTCAAACAAATGTTTATAAAACAAAACAAAACAAAATAAATTTAATTTTTATTTAATCTATTTTATTTAATTAAATGCATGCAATTGCTAATAAATATTAAATAAATGTTTATAAAACAAAATAAATTTAATTTTTATTTAATCAATTTAAAAATGAACTTTACAAAATTTAATGCAAAAATAATAAATCTCAAATAAATGTTTATAAAACAAAACAAATTTAAATTTTTATTTAATTGATTTTAACAAAAAAACTTTAATCGATTTTTAATTAATTAAATGCATGCAGTTGTTAACAAATCTCAAACAAATGTTTATAAAAAAACTAATTTAATTTTTATTTAATCGATTTAAAAAAAACTTTACAAAATTTAATGTAAAAAACTTTATTAGTAAATCTCAAGTAGTTTATAAGAAAGACAAATTTCGCCGTCTGTGGGAATCGAACCCACGACCACAT